GGGCCTAGACCCTTCTTCAGAAGAAGGGTCTAGGCCCAAAACATCAGCTTTCCTGCTCCTCTGATGCTGCTTGGCCTGCTGTGTTCATCTAGCTCTGCACCTTGTTATCTAAGAAAGTGAACAAGCTGGTTTCACCAACAACTTCATCACTGAGGGAAGTAGATATCCTAAAGCATTTAAGCATTGAAGTAATTTGTTTGTCAATTTCAACATAAAGCCTTATGTGGAATGGAAAAACATTCCACTGACACAAACCAGAAAGGTGGTTATCCCGATACATGCTCTTCCATTTCAGGCTCGAAGGAACCCACATGCATAAAACAGGATTGAAACCTGCAGAAATGCAATACCTTTTCTTTAAACTCAACTTCCTGTTTTATAAGCTCTTCAGTAATTTGACAAGAAACATAACATCAAGAGAGCAGACTGCAGGTTTCTATTAAAGATGCAATTTATAAATGTTCCAAGTCACTGATATCTACTTGAACCTGTCCACTTGGATGATAAAATCAAGGAGCCAGCAGCAAGGAAACTACCATAGGCATGGAAACTATCCCAGCTTCCAGCAAGAATTGTGAACGAGAAGCAAGTAAACGAAATCAGTGGGAAGGGAATTATGCAAAATATAATATTCAATTGCTTAATTATGTATTTGACTGCCATCTGTAGTCAAGCCTGCATGGTTACAGAGAAAAGTAGATTCTAAACTGAAAGCAAACAGTAAGCTAAAAGCTTAGAATGCATAAAGGTACAATTAATAAAGTTCCTGTTTACTCACGTAAGTTGGGATCATATCTGTGCATCATTAAGTCATGAAACATGACACAAAGTACCTTAAGCGGACTCTCTTAATGGCTGAGGTGGAGACAGGATGGGGCTGGAAAGGATAGAACGGTAAACTTTTTCAGCAAGAGGATTTCAGCAGCAGTGGTGGTATATCACCCTCAGTGATGTGAAGAAGCAAGAAAACCAATTCAGGAGAGAACAAGAGGAAATTGTCTTCAAGCATACTCACAGCTATGAAATTAGGAGAAGAAAATAAATACCTCAGTGAGGGGCTGCAAAGAAACTACCTCAGTTGATGGAAGCATTGAGTGAATAATGTAGATAAAGATTAGAAAATAGTCTTAGAAATCGAAATGAGAAAGTATATAGGTTGGATTTCAAAGATAGAATTTAGAAAATGAAATGGAAATGGCCAGAGTATTTAAGTAAGATCCATATAAAAACAAATGTTAGATCATTCATCTTCTTGTGTCACTATGGAAGCTATTATACAGTCCCATTTTTCCATAAAACACTCTAAGTATGTAATTAATGTAGTCAGACTTTGCTTGTACATTTTTAATTCCTGATTTAGTGTGAACTTTTTTTTTGATAAGTACTTTTTGATGTTAGATGTTAAAATTATTTTGTTAGTCTCACTGCTTTACTAGATTACTTGTGGAACTGAATTCAGTTGAGTATATGTGACAATGGACTAGTCAAGACACATGCACTTTCCAGTACAGGTCACTGGATTCTGACTTGGAGCAAGAGTCTAATTGAAGTACTTCTCTTTCACTCTAGCTCAGAACTGGACAGAATAATTGTGGTTGACTCCAGCCACTTCAACTGAAATATGCTAATTTTCCTGAACTGAAAGTTATCAATGTTTTTCTATTTGAAACTTTAACAGGCACTAGTAACTCAGGTGGCACGGGTGCACAGTGGTTAGCACTGCTGCCTCACAGCGCTAGGGACCTGGGTTCGATTCTGCCTTCAGGCGACTGTCTGTGTGGAGCTTGCACACTCTCCCTGTGTCTGTGTGGGTTTCCTCCGGGTGCTCCAGTTTCCTCCAACAGTCCAAAGATGTGCAGGCTAGGTGGATTGGCCATGCTAAATTGCCCGTAGTGTTCAGGGATGTGTGGGTTACAAGGAAAGAGTGGTGGGATGCTCTGAGGATTGGTGTGGACTTGATGGGCTGAAGGGCCTGTTTCCACACTGCAGGGATTCAATGAGCTCTGTTATGATATTGTACACACAAAGAACAGAAATTATAGTTTCAGTTATAAATAAAAGGCAGA